TTGAAAATGTTTTTGGCACATGTTTTGACATTTAAAATTCATTTTAATTTAAGCAAACCAATAAATAACTAATAAATAGAAATATAAAATATATTTTACTTACAATTTCTCAATTTGACTTAGCTTAACTTCAAAAATATCTTTTGAATTTACTATTCCCCCTCGATTAGTTTTGACATATAACACACAACTCCCCTAATCAAGCATCATAAAACTTATGTTTTTGTCATCACAATTTCACCACCACTCATAAAAATCTTCCACACTTCCTTTTTGAAGTTAAAACCACACCGTAAAAGTTAAGGAGCAAATAGTTAGATAAGAGAGTTAGAGTTAGAACGATAAAACCAACCAACTAGTGAACTTTTTAGCACGTATTAGTTTGATTTGAACAGGCTATCTAGAGTTAGGGTCTCAATATTTTTCTTGACTTCTTTTGTTGAGTCCAACTTGACTCTATCTATAGTAGGAGCAGCAGCAGCAGCCTAAAATGATAAGAGGTCAAAACCTTATACATTTAGTGCTGCAAGAGTGGAACCAGCTGGTTTGATAGATGATCGATTTCCACCTTACGTACAACTGCCAGCTACAATCTGCAAAAATAGTTCGAAACTACAAAAATTCTAGATCGAATACAATGAGCACTTTCTCAATTTACACCAAATAAGGCTGAATTGACCCCTCATATTTGACTTAGATTTTGTTTCTAAACATTTTCGCTAATTTTTCCTTTTTGCAGTGGAAACTGGAGTATGCTGTCAAGTTCAAACTGTTGATCAAAAAGTTTATGAAAAGCTCACATGTTCAGTCACACAAAAATCTAAAAATTCACTGAAATTGAATAAATCACAACATTTTTGGACAAATTTCACAATCACATCAATTTTACAATCAACTAAAAATCTCAAGATAAGCATGGAATTTTCATTTAAATAATTCAACTAATTTCTCAAACTGAAACGTAAGTTTCAGATATGACATTTTAGACATAATTAATTATGAACCATGTCCTAACTAGATTTAACACTTCCAATAAATACATGCTAAAGTATGTTTCAAACCAGACATCATCGGATGATGTTTAAATAAAAATATGTGCGTGCTAGACTGGAGCATTAATATTAAATTTTTCTTCATTTTATATGCTCATGTGATGACTTTTTCTAAATTCTTTTTAATTCAGGGAGCTAGCTTTCATACTGTCATAAGGATAGCTTTTTTTCTCATGATCTATGTTCATTATCAAGGGCGACTTCACATGTCTATGGTGGTACGCTCTCCTCCCATGAACTTGTCTATTTACACAACATCATATTACAGTGTAGAGAGATACCGATACTGAATTTAGATCTACACTAAAACATGTTGCCTTTAGATGCCCATCTAGAAAATAAATGATCAAACAATATTTTTATAGTGTTCTAATAGTGTACTTATCTAACAGTCATAAGTTAAAGTGAGCGTACTACACTGCTTGGAGATTCCAATTTTATCTCAATAACTACAAACCAAATTTTCAAGAAAACCCCTAATTTTTGTTTCTATTCTTTTCAATTTTTTGTGTTTCTTATAAATGCAAAATATATGCAAACAAAATCAACACACAAATCAAACAAAAGAAGTTGCATACATTAAACTAGCTTTTAATGTATTATGCATATGTCAACGACTTTTCGCAAAATTTCAAATCTAACAGTATCTAAAGCCTTGGTGAGTAAATCAACCAATTGTCATTGAATATGTTCTAGGACAAGAATATTTCTTTCAATTAAATCTTTTATGAAATGATGTCGAATATCATGTGCTTAGTCGCAGTCACTAAACATCTATTGCATCCCTGAAAGTAACCATTCCTCCTGCATGACTTTTAAAATTAGTTAACATAGAGTGACTAAACTTATGTGTTAGGAACAACTACTAACAAAATACTAGGAGTTAGGTATCGAAACTTGCTTTATTCTAGCCTTAGAATTTCGTTTTAAGGTGTCAGTTTGCAAGTTAACACTCTTAGCATGATTAGATTTTATTATTATTATTTTTTGTCAAAATAGGTTCAACTAATTAACCGTTTATGTAACATAATTTTGAGATGATAACTTTTACAAGAGAGGTTCTCAATCCTTAACCTATTTACATCTGTAAATCTAAATCCTTACACTAAGAAAATTGTCTACGTGGACATCAAAATTGCAAGTGGATTACACATGATTTAAAGTTGGACATTAAATTATTTGACATTTTTTCCTATAGCATTAAGCCCTTGTTTGATGGCCATTCTCTGGTCGAACTTTGCTACATGTATAATATGGTGTACACTTTAGTTTACACTTTGCCACGTGACATTATCCTATTGGACAGTTTAAATTTCAAACAGTTTTTCTTCCAATTAACACATGACAAGAATGCAAGAGTCAACTGAATTGTCAAAAATCAGTATACAAATAGTAAAATTCTTATCTGGCCAAAAGAAAGTTTTGAATAGTGATTTTTAGAAAAATATGTGATCAAAAAATATAAATATATGTGCAAAATATTTTATTGTATGAATGTGTAATTGAAAAATAAGTATTTAGAAAAAATAATTTCAAATAATAGTTGTCGAACATAGGTCATGTGAAAATAATGTGAGTTTTTAACGTTCATATTGATCATTTTTAATCTAGATTATGTAAAATTAAAATATTTATTAAATTTTTTATCCAACGGTACATCAATATATGTACACCAAATTGAGTAGTGCTTCATGTACACCGAGCTGTCGGTGTACATGCCCCTCACACGGGGGGCTCTAGCTCGGAATAAAAGCAAATAAAAAAATGGGCGGGCCCCGTCCCTTGAGAGGGGAGCATCAACCGTACTGTACACTTTTTAATGTACAAATGGTAAATTTCGAATTATTAATGTGGAGAATGGAATGTTTCCTACTCCAAAGTAAATCCAAATATGCAATAATAGGAACCTGCACGTGGAGTTACTTTTTGACTGACTAATATTCAATTAAACGATAGATAATCATAAATTTTTTTGTACTGCTTTATCTTGTGCTCAGTGTATCCTAATACACTTTTTCTTCTTGAGCCAAGCCCACGTCATCAAATATGAGCTACAAAGCGATTTAATATTGATACAGTAATTTAGTTTAATTGAAAATTAATATTATCTATTTAATGATCTATAACTCGAATTTAGCTTAATCAAATCAACTTTTTTCTCAAATCCACAATCCATCATTTAATATAAGTTTTGTGGGGGACATGGGGACGTAAAAAAGGGATTTGGGGGAGGGGGGGTATTGTTCATCTACATCTATTCCAATGAGCCGTTAGCTCGATATTGATAGGATAGTTCTCACTCCTCTAATAATTACACATTTGGTTCAAAACTTATTTTCAGGTTAGCCTCTCAATTTCTTAAAAATATCAAAGAGCTCCTCAAGTTTGGAGATCCAGCTCATCACTAAATATTCTTACTGTTACATTCTTGTTTGACAATATATTTCTCAATATTTGCAAACTAGCCCCCTAAACTTTGCACTTATTGCATTTATGATCCAATTTGGGTTTGAATTCATAAAACCACGAGACATCAATGCAATATTCTCATTCTTAAATTTATCCTAATTTGTATTTTAGTCCTTACACTTACTATAAATTGCTAAAGTGCACATTACTTGAGTTTTTCCAAATAATAATTTTTGAATATTATTATTTACAAATTACAATCTGATACTATTTTATCTCTGAACGATTTTTTTTGTTAAATTTCATTTAACTCCTTTAACTTTCTAAAAACATGCTAATGGACCCAAAAACTTCTTTAGTTGTCATATATGCTAAGAATCATACTTTGTAAGATTTAAATTTTACAATTTGTGCATAAAAAGGGTTAATTGAATTTTTTTTGTTTTTTTTTTTTATGGATTTGAGAATAGAAAATGAAACAAACATTTAGGTTTAAAATGGTTAAATTAAGTGTTAAATATAATCCCTGTTTGGTATTAATATTTTAAAATTTTCTCATAACTCATTTTAACGACGTATTCTTCCAATAAAATAATTTGTAAAGATTCATAACTTTTTTACTTTTTAACCACACATTTTAAAAAATATCACTTTTCAATATGCCTATGTTTCGTTTAGCTAAAACTCAAAATATTAGTAAATCTTGATAAAGGTTAATGAAGTACGTGGTTAAAAAGTTGATAAAATTTATAGGCTTCATAAGAATATGTAGTAATGCTATTTAGCTCCATTAGAATTATAATCCCAATTTAAGTGACGTTAATGTGATATTAAATAATAAATGAAATTAAATAAGTTATTTAATTTCACATTTTATTCAGCATATCATCAAGCATCCCCTACATTGGGGTTGGTAACTTCAGCGGGGTTGCATAGCATTATTCTAAAATATGTAATTAAAAATAACTGTAGACTTTGAATTAACTTTTTTAGTTAAATCAAATAGGGCAAAATCTTCCATTCTAAAAAATCTGCACGAAATAGACTCATAATATGTCAATTTTACCTTTTTAAATATGAGAAAGCTTAGGCAAAAGTTGAATAAGCTTCTATTTGATAGTTATTATTTTGAAAAAAAATGATGTTTTGAAAAGTGATTTTTCGTTACGAAATAAATTTTTTTTTTAGATTTACGTGCAGAATATTTTATGATGTAAATATATAGTTGAAAATGAGTATGGAAATAAAAAATTTCATTTTGAAGGGAGACCAACATGGACTAAATAATATAGAAGACCAAATATGTAAATGAAAGTGAATGTAAGGAAGGGTTTTTATAAATATTCTAATAATTAAATTTTTATTTTTATAAAGACCAAAAAAAAAAAAAAAAAACACAAAAAACAAGAAGAAGAACAAAAAACAGAATTTCAGATTTTTGGGCCGTTTTCAGTTTGGGCCCGCGTTCATGGCCTGGACCCCACCCGTTGTTCCTTTTAGCCGAATTTACATAAGCCTCAGCCTCCGCTCCAATTTCGTATTCCCTGTGCTAGAGTAGAAAGGCTATGGCGATTGCAGCAGCGCCGGCGGCGACGGCGCAGGGCCAAATGATGGCGTCGGTGAACCAAAAAATCACCTCAAACTTCACCAGCTTAAGCAGCAAAGTACATTTGAGGCCACAAAAACAGATACTGGTGACGCATGCATCAAATGCAAGTGCAAGTGGTGGTAGCACAGAAAATGCAGCTGCTGTTTCAGTCACCGAAACCTCCTCTACTTCTCCAACTCCCCGTAGCTCTAGGTACGTGTAATGATATATTGGCATTCATTTTTTACCAGCAGATATGTCATACCTGAAAAATATATCTATTTTTCAGGTAGGATGAAAATATTGTTTTTAATTTTCACTTGTTTGCGTGTGAATGTGATGTTTGATATGATTTTAGTTTTATGGCATCTGATTTAGATAGTTTAATTGGTTAATTTACTCGTGGAATAATAAGTTAATAATTTAATTTTTGTCTGGTTTTTCTTTTCCTTTCTTTCTATTGTTTAAGCTGCTGGATAAATGTGTTAATTAAGTAATTTTGTTTTAATGCTAAGGAGTTTCTATATGAATGCACGATCTCAGAATCCTATATGGAAGTTGGATTGTCAATAAATTTTATGGTGGATTTTATTAGTTGTTAGTATTTGCTTTCAGGTTCAAATATCTGGATTTATGTAAGATACTTAAATGCTTCCCATTAGAGAAATTGGGTTAAGTGGCCTATATGGGTCTATTAGGCACATCGGTGAAGAATAGCTCTAAAAATTTATTTTCTGTCTCTTATATAGTTGGCTCCTGTTTACTAGACAGTGAGGAATTTTAAAATTATTTTAACCATATGCTTGTTGCAATGGAGTTGGGCCTATGAATTATGCTAAGTATCGAATTGAATAAGATCATCTATTCCAAATAAGGCTTCAATTCCACGCTTCATAAAGCATATTTAGTTTGCCTTCGTAGTCATTGTGAACTGATATTGGTTTTTTGTGCCTGGTGTTGTCTGGCAACCTGCTGCAGGCTGCCACCTTGCACATTTTCTTGACCTTCATCTCCACTATTTCATTTATGTGGCAGATGATAATAGGTGGTCACTGAAGGTTGCAACGCTGTTTGTTCATAAAATTGGATGTTGTGAATTTTGGCTGTCTTACAATACGTTTAAATGTTACCGGTTCCAGGAACATATGAAGCCATTTTCTCATGAATGAAATTCATTATTTTCTGAAGTATATATTTTTCGCAAATTTTTACTCAACAAAGAGAGAGCTGAAATATGAGACATGTTTGCCAGTAAGTCTAGGATGATGAAGTTTAACCCGCTTGGAATTGTTTTTAACTATGTTTGTTGCAAAGTCCACAGGTGATGGCAGACCAAGGTTGGATGGTTGGGCCCCTCTAGAAAGTTTATTTCTTGTCTATCCTTTATGAACTAAAGACAAGACGTGCGTGCAATTTCTTGTCTATACTTTATGAACTAAAAAAGAAGTAAGTTTCATGTATCTTCTACACTGCAACACATCATCATCACCTCAAGATATTAAAAAGATGAAGAGAAGTTTTAAGTGCTTGTTTGGGTTTCATTTTATGTTGCTGAGATTATAATGTGATAGAAATGAGTGGTGTATGAGTGTGTAGTTGTTGTGAGACTTACAAAATATGTGGTTAAAATTAAAGTTTGACTTTGACCTTTAAACTATAAGGATATTATAATGAAAGGGAAAGTACATCTATTTTTCCCCCTTCCCCCCTTTTATTTTAAATTCTTGTGATTATACACAGAGAAGTTTCTTCACTTAGCAATCTCCAGTTCCTGAATGAACCAACAGAGAATTCTGGTGTTGAAGTCCAAGAAAGTTATTAAAAAAAAAAAAAATCTCAATTTTTTACTGTTCGGTCCTGTAGCAAATTATGCCTTTATTGCTGATTTTCCAATGGTTTGCCATGCTTGCCATTATTGATCCTGTAGGTACAACTACACTTCTTTGAGTACAGCACAGAGTTGTTTAGCCACTTTGGTGGATTAAATTCATTTAAAGTAATTTTATCTATTTCAAAATGCAGAATGAATATTTTAGCCTGGCACCTCAGGATTGTATCGTACAAGAAGACATGTATATATTATCTGTACTAGACATCTGATTTCATCAAATTCTAAAGAATATAAAAATATTTGTGATCTTCAGTATTCTTAATTTAATTGTTTCAGAGTGAAACGTCATACAATCTCCGTCTATGTTGGGGATGAAAGTGGTATAATAAACAGAATAGCTGGGGTCTTTGCTCGTCGAGGCTACAACATTGAATCTCTTGCAGTTGGTCTGAACAAGGATAAGGCTCTCTTTACTATAGTTGTCTCTGGAACAAAAAAAGTTTTACAACAAGTCGTGGAACAACTCAACAAACTTGTGAATGTCTTAAAGGTATGTCTTCTGTTTATTATTTGGATAAATATACTTTGGCTTACAGGTCCTTAATATTCTTATATATGTTTTTGATGTTGTTTCCATCATAATATTTGTAAATAAGTAGAATAAATATAAGGTGGTTCTGTCTCTATCTACAAATGTGTTTTACAAGCATTTTTGATGCATGACCAACTGAAACAATTAATTGAAATGAAAACAGATCTATAATGAAGAGGGAATTACGAGAAAGAATGGGGAAGAAGAAGAATTCAATAGAAGAAATAGAAGGAAGTAGAAGGAGAGGAATTCGCCATAAGCCACCAAAATAATTATTCATTCATCAACTGAAATAAATTACATGCAAAATAGGTTTAAATAGTAAAGCAAACCCTAACGAAATTGGGCCCGAGCCAATATAAGCCCAATAAAGTCTAAAACAAAATAAAGTCCACAAAAATGAAGTAAGGTCCCAAATGAAATAAGGTTCGACTAGAAATAAGTAAAAAAGGACTGGATGTCCCCTTCAATTTCCCAATGGTTCATTACTATATATTATTTCTTCTTAAGTTTTGTCGTCAACATGAACTATCTCTGCATCTTTCATACTGATTTGCGCCTCAATATTTTTCCTCTCAACACTCTTTGATTTATCAGGTGGAAGATCTGTCTAAAGAACCGCAAGTGGAACGTGAATTGATGCTTATAAAGCTCAATGCAAATTCCAGCACCAAAGGTGAAGTACTCAGTTTTGTCATTCCTATTTTTCAAAATTATCATTCCTTTATTTTCCATTCTGCATTAATGTTATTGATAATTCAACTAACGGTCTATGGAGAATATCCCTTAGGAGCACTCTTATAGACACCTAGTCTTATTTCTGTTGTAGCTGCAAAGAATATTATTAACATCAGGTTTTGGTTGACATGAAGACAGTTTTTATTTTAATTGAAATATGTTCATGTTGGGTTCGAACATTATTGTCAAAACTTCAAAATAGTAAGGGTAGAAGTGAGGCTTCAGAATGGTCTGTTCGCCCTGTTTCTCTTGGTTATCCTCATAGATCATATGGCAAGTTTTTGAGTTATGAACATCTTGAACCCTTACACAGATCACGTTTCATACTCTCAAATGAGCATCTAGGCTTGCTTGTCCTACAAGATAATATCATATTAACGCCATGGCAATTTCTGTCTTGGCATTTTGCTCTCTCTATAGACTTATATGGTCCAAAAGCTTAACAAAACAAGACCACTTAATAAATTTCATATTTGACATTCGTACAGCTCATACAATCAGCTATCATTTGATAAATTGCAAAATCAGAAAAAGGAGAAAGTCAGAGTTGTTATTAATTGCTTCATCAGTGTAAAATTTCTTCTATGGTATCCTTCTAGAAACACAGAGTCCACCAATCTAATCAAATTAGCAGTTAATCTGTCAAAAAGATACAGTTCAGACAAGAGATCGTGATATATCATCTGCATGGAAAGGTATTATGTTGGTTCTGTGCATGATTCAACGGTTTTTCTTGTAGCGTTTTCCTTAGATTTATCTCTGTTATTTTCTCTTAAAGTAATTCTTATCTGCTTTCCTGTGTTTATTGTAAAATGTTACTCGAGAGAAGTTTCTTTTAGAGACCAATTTTCATGATTGAAGTTCTGCATTATTTCCTGGATGCAGTTGTATATTTTTTGTGAGTCCACATATTAACTTTGATATTTGGCTTTAATGTTCAGATCATGTGGTTGGTAGACATCTTCAGAGCAAAAATTGTGGATATATCAGAACATTCTTTGACCATTGAGGTTGGTGACTATCTTTATGTGGTTCCTTTCTTGTGTTTCATTGAACTAGTTAGTTGTCTTTCAACTTGAGTCTTTTGAATAACTGAAGTTGGATAAATATGCTTGAAATAAAATTTGGAGAAGCATGGATTCTTGTTTGGTGTAAAATGCCTGCTAAGTTTCCTTTAGCTAGAAGCCAAATACCCACAGATCATCAAAATACATTTAATCTAGGACCTAAAGCATTAAGGTGTAAATCAATTGAGATAATTACAAATGGTTGAGATTTCCTGGCTTTTATTCAATCTTTCTTCTAACTGTAGATTGGACATGGCATCTTATACAGAATATTAATTAGAAAACCATGTACCGATACGATCTCATAATTTACAAGTATACTTACCATTCCCAAAAAAATTATTTTTGATAAAAAGTTATCCTTCAAGAAGAAAGAAATATTTGCAAATTTTCATTCGTAACGGAAAGTGAGGAAGCAAATAGGAAAGACTCAGTTTCATGGAGTGGCATTATTTTGCTGTAAAGGCGATCGTTCCCAATTGATACCATCGATTATCTTATATGACTCTGAGCATTTAAATCAGCTTTTTGTGCACTTCCTATTTTTCATGTATAGAACTGTTAGTTTCTGCAGACTTCTATAGAATATTATGACTGACAGTAGATGGTGTCCTAGTGTCTAAATGAATTTCACTTCGTGTCACTGACAATGCCAAATTATGTTTTATGCAACTAGTTGTATTTCTTTCTCGTGGTCCATATAGGTCACTGGAGACCCTGGAAAGATGGCAGCTGTTCTGAGAAATGTAAGGAAGTTTGGAATTAAAGAACTAGCAAGAACTGGAAAGGTAAAATTATTGACCTTGCCCTGTTAGGGAGAGGAAGTGGAGCACGGTCACTTAAATGCGTCTTTTTCATTTGTATGCATGTGAAATGCATCTTTTTCATTTATTCTTTTGCATGTATATTTGAGGTGCTTCTCATTGTATGCAAGTCAATATCTGATTACAATCTTCCAAATGCAAATTTACCATGGTTACCAGTCATACATGGTATTTTTACTGCAATGTCATAGTGGCCAACAACTTTCTGGTATTGATATGCTAATTCGTGTAGTGGATGAAACTTGTAGATTGCTTTGAGAAGGGAAAAGATGGGTGAGACAGCTCCTTTTTGGAAGTTTTCTGCAGCTTCGTATCCAGATCTTGAGGAATCAATTCCTGTTGATGCTATTTCTAACAATAAAACCCCACCAAGTATTGAAAAACCATGTAATGGCACCCTCAACAATGTCTCGAAGGTATACTCCAAAACTGATGCTTTGCTATTGTTTTCGGTCTTTTTTCATGCATCTCTTATCATTTCTTCTAATAATCAGTGGATTCATTTTCTTTTAACTCTTGGTAGACATCAATTTGCCCAACTTTAATTAGTACCTTTCCCTGAATCAAAAAGTTAATCAGCCCTAAAAATTATTTTCAGTCTGCCATCAATTTGCCTTTCTTAGAATGAATTTTGCTGTTGATTGCTGAACCTATTTTTTTCCTTCACCAAAAAGAATCTTGAGTCATGATTATGTAAATTGGATGCTGGACAAATTAGCAAGGTGCGTGTCAATAATTTTATGATTTCCGATTAAACTTTTCCGAGTTTTTCAGTTCTATTTTGAAGAGGTCGTCTCTTCCAAATATTTCTGTTATAAAGGACCTGTTAATTTCATATTTTTTCATAGGATCAATATTTTAATAATTTTCTGATTATTGTTCTCATTAGAATCTGAATACTTTGCCAATTAAACGTAAAATCATGCTATAGGAAAAGATTTCGTTTGGCTGATTTGTTATTTTCATCTGTGGCAGTTGCAAGCTTTCTCATATGTATGTTTATCAAATGTATGAGTTTATTTTCAGGTCCATAGCTCATTGTTCTTACCACAATTGGTTATTTAGCCATGTTAGACAGTTATTTCTTTATCAATATTTGTCGCCAGGTGAAACTAGTTACTCTCTTTGGTAAGTTTGATCTGCACATTGGTGTTAGTTATTCTGCAATTCCAATCTATTAATTTAGTTTTAAGAATCTAGCATGTAATGATAGCCTGCTAGAACAGGCTCCTTTCAACTGTGCATCTTTTCATTTCAAATCATTGCTGCCTGATTTGATGAAGAATGCTTCGTTGTTTGTAGGGTGACGTTTATCCTGTGGAACTGGATGACGACTTTTATTTAAATCAAGTTCTTGACGCCCACTGGGGAGTTCTGCATGATGCAGATGTAAGAAACTATTTGGTTCTCAAGATGATTCATATTTGTTTGATTATTCATTATTCTATTCTCCCTTACAATTCAAGTTCTGAGGAAGAATTTTACTGATCTTAGGCTGGCTATAACGTAGACAGTTATACATAAAAAATTTTGTGTGCAATATTAACAGCTAGTTTGGTACTTCTATAATTTGTTTATAGTTGGTCAAACTTATTTTTTATCTGCACATTTCATGGAGACTACAAGTAGTACTCACTTATCCACCACTTATTTTTATCTGTTTATAATTTAAATTGACTATAATCACTTCCCAAACATGCACTAAATTGTCATTTCCATTTAAGAAATCCCTCTTTCAAAATGATCTCTTCCTTAGGATGCATAATGTATTATTCTGGAGATCTGGTTAAGAATGAGCCAGTCACCGTTCTTTTTCTGAATTTTAAATGCTCTAGTCTGAAGGTCTTGATTTGTAGGCTAGATCTTAGAACTTAAATTTCAGTATCCCTTGTTGCTCAAGACAATGGGCAATACGATTGGTTCTTCCATTCCTTGTTTGTGCAAGCTAATACTCTTATCCTAATGCTGCAGTCGAGTGGGTTTCAGTCACACACTTTGTCCATGCTTGTGAATGATTCTCCTGGAGTACTTAACTTGGTCACTGGGGTTATATCTCGAAAAGGATATAACATTCAGGTCAAATCTTATGCTCTTAACGATGGCTTTTCTAATTATTGTAAATTGTCCTGTTTTTACCTGCATGACTTTTAATTTTTCACTCATGAGCTCCCTGGATCACTCTAAATAAACTTCCTATCGTGGGTTCAGAGTCTTGCCGTAGGTCCTGCAGAAATTGAAGGGGTCTCATGCATAACAACTGTTGTTCCTGGAACTGATGAAACTATTGGCAAACTGGTTCAGCAATTTCATAAGTTGGTCGAAGTTCATGAGGTGATGAATGCAAATTCCATGTTGACTGGAATCATTAAAAATTCCTTTCAGTTTTCAATATTAGGTCTCTGATGTTCACAATATGGAAATATTTCCGTGTGTGATCCTACTATTTTTTTTTCGAGATCTTGTTTGATTATTTCCTTATAGTGATTGCATACGAAGTGTAGAATCTTTATAGTTATCTAAAACCTATAAATGGAGACTCTCTTTGTAATTCTTAAACAGAGTAGTTTTCCGGTATTTCTGTCTGTTTATAGTTTCTATCACTTATGACTGAGAATCTGAATTGCTTGGGGGTTCTTCCAGAGGTGACTTGCTTCTCTTTGAAGACATCATGCATGGGATTTATGATAGTCCTTGTCAAGTGTCAACCATATCTGGAGCAGTTATTTTTTCTTCAAATATTATGCACCACAAAGAAGCATTTGTTATTATTTATCTACATTTTTATCTGTTTACATGGATACATTTTATCAAGAAATCTTTCATATCTTTACTATAGTTTAAGTGCATACTTCTTGGTTATGTGGCTTGCCTTTATCACTGACCTAGTTATATATTGAGTCGTGTGATATTCTTTGGGATTTTTGAAAGTTTTAACTGTTTTTTCCCTCAATATTTAAGAATTTTAGTTTTTAGCGGTATTCTTAAAATAAGAATGAAAATTTAATTTCATCATACAAGTTTTCTGGTGTCAATTATCAAAAAATTTGTTGATCCAATTCAAAGTTGTAATTTTTTATGCAAGTGCTGAATATCTAAAAAATGTATATCTTTTATCATTTGCATGTTGTTGTGAGATCAAATGGCTAATAAAAATTATGTTAAATTATTCAGGTGCAGGATATGACGCACTTTCCGTTTGCTGAGCGTGAACTGATGCTGATCAAGGTTGCTGTTAATGCTACTGCTAGAAGGAATGTCCTTGATATTGCCAATATTTTCCGGGCCAAACCTGTCGATGTGTCTGATCATACAATAACGTTAGAGGTCAATTTCTCTTTGGACTTTTTATTTTCTGTTGAATAGATTCTTCTTCATTACATATTTTTCTGCTTCAGTAACTTTCACTTTGACTATTTTGTTTGAAGTTTCTGGTGAGTTACACACACTTCCACTCTATATGCATGTGAAAGCGTGTGTGAGTTCAAGTGCCCTTGCTTGTGCATTTAGGTAGACATTAATATTTATACCGATTAAGTCCACAACTTCACTTGAGAAATAGTTATACTTTTATATTGATTTAACCTTGTGATCTAGCCTGCACGACCAAATTTATGAGGAATCTGTTAAACAGAAATTTATTTTGACATATAGCATAAGAGTTGAACTTTTTATATTATTCATCCAATTCAAGGGTTATATATACAAAATCCAACCTTAATCCTATTTGTAAAGGGAAAATGATATTACCCTATTTGAAGTAGAAAACCCATACAATTCTATTATCATATCAATTTCTAACTACATAAGGAGCATAAGATAAATAGTGATGCAGCACCAACTAGACAATTAATGAAGAAATAAAACAAATCTACAAGGGAGAGAGAATTAAGGGGAAGAATGGGGGAAGAAGAAGAAGAAGAAAATAGGAGATAGAAATTTCGCCACAAGCCATCAAAAGTTTTATTCATTCATCAACTGAGTGAAATTACATGGCAAATTAGATTTGAATAGTTAAATAAAACCCTAACTAGAACGGGTTTGGGCCAATACAACTTACAAGACCTATTACATAAATAAGAATTCAAAACAAAAATAAAGCCCACAAAACAAAAAAAAGTCCAACTAGAAATAAAAATAGATGATGTCCTCATCAATTCTTCGGAGTGGGAGAAAACTCGACCCTGTCGAGTTGATGGATCACTATATGCTGCAGTCAATCTCCCAGCCATAAGTTGAGTGGTTGGGCAAGCTTCTTTCGACGTATGCAAAAATGTATTAGTGGAGATCTGAATCTGGTGCCCTCATCTATCCCTTCTGAGTGGATAGGAGGCGATCTAGGCCAAGGAAGATCTTGCTGCTGCCTTTGATAGAGCTCCAATAAATCTGGATCTAACTGTTGTAGTGTCTCTTTGGAAACCCATGTACAGTCAGAATTCGGTCGATCAACCCAACGAACAAGAAAGCATTTAACTTCTCCATCATTAGGCAACACCGTCTCTTCATCTAAAATTGTATCAATTTTATCTTTGTATGTTGGGAGAGGTGGCATTGGGTTAGAAGTGGCAAAAGAATCAGGATCAAGGTTCACAAAAAGAGGTAAAAGATGATCATTGGAGAGATTGAAATGGCCTTTATAAGCAACTAAGTCCTCAACATTGAAAATAGAGTAGTATCCAAAGTGTGGTGGGATGTTAACAACATATGCATTTGGACCTACTTGCTTTAAGATTTTAAAAGGACCAACACTACGGGCTTGTAATTTGGAGGCGAGTCTAGGTAGACGCCGCTCTAGCCTAATTCGAACCATAACATAATCCCCAATATTGAACTTAATATGCCTTTTATGCAAATCAGCTCGGAGTTTGTATGATGCATTACTAGCTTCAAGTTTATTGATCTCAATATGCAAATCACGAAGATGTCGTACAAATGCTTCGACTGAGGATGACGCTGACACTCTAGTATGTGGGAACATTGGCATGAGATCTAACGGCTTCCTAGGCTTATACCCACGAACAACTTCAATGGACTCATACCTAATGATCGATTCATGGAACTGTTATACGCAATTTGAGTTATAGGAAGGATCAAATTCCAATTTCTAAAATTTTCCCGGGCTAGACATCTTAACAAAATACCAAAATTACAGTTAACCACTTCAGTTTGACCGCCAATTTGAGGATGGTAGGCTGTAGAAAATTTCAATTTGGTACCCACTTTTTATCACAAGGTTTTCCGAAAATGGTTAGTGAAACGAACATCCCTATCTGACACAATAGTCTTAGGAAGCCCATATAATTTGACAATCTCATTACAGTACAACATGACAGCCTTGGACGCATCTGATGCCTTGTTGCAGGGGATAAAATGAGCAATTTTTGAGAAATGATCGACTACTACAAAAATAGAATCATGTTTCTTTGGGGTCGTGGAAGTCCTAGCACAAAAATCATATTAATGTCTTGGCAAGGAAAATTAGGGACGGAAAGAGGTGTGTATAGGCCCATGTTTTGCCCCTTCTGTTTGGCCAATTGACAAGTGTTGTAAGTACTAACAATCTTAGCCACATCTTTCTTCAAACTAGGCCAATAGAATTGGCGCTCAACTTCTTCTATTGTCTTATCAAGCTCAAAATGACCGGCTAAGCCTTCCGCATGAATTTCCCACACTACGAAGCCTCACACCGAAGTTCAAGGAATGCACAATTTATTTGCTCAAAAAAGGTTACACTCCTCAAGTCGGAAGCCATCTGCGGTATCTGAATGTCCACCTTGCAAATCAAGGAAAATATCCTTAAAATTAGAACACGTCTCATAATCCTCCTTAAGCCTTTCAAAATTGATGACCTTGACGCTCATGATCGACAAAAGGGAGACATGGCTACTTAAAGCATTCTTGTATTTCAAAACAAAAGAATAGGCCTGCAAATACTCAATCTAGTGGCCATGTCTAGAGCTCAACCTTTTTCAGAGAGTTGAGGTGACGGATAGCCTCGTGGTTCGAATAAAGGACAAACTCCTGAGGTAGCAAATAATGGCGCCAATAACGCAAAGCTTGGACAACCGCATACAATTTCTTATCATAAGTTGAGCGGCGTTGTTTGGCATCATTTAACTTCTCAATGAAATAGGCAACAAGGTGACGATCCTGACTGACTTCGCCTATTCCTATCCCGGAGGCATCACATTCTACCTCAAAGACTTTGGAAAAATCAGGAAGATGCATGACAAGAGCTTCTGTCATTCGTTTCTTGACTAACTTAAAAGCCTTAGCCGCCTCTTTCGTTCAATAAAACTCCCCTTTCTTCATGCACTCCGTAATAGGCGACATGATGGTGCAAAACCCTTGATAAAACAATGATAAAATGAAGCTAAGCCGTGAAAGCTCCTGATGTCATGAATAGTCTTAGGTTTAGGCAAGTCAAGAATCGCTTGTATCTTGGCAGGGTTGGCAGATACCCATGTCGAAGATACAATGAACCCTAAGAAAACGATTCTATCCGTGAAGAAAGAGCACTTCTTGGCGTTAGCATACAATTTTGTTGCACGAAGGGTAGAACAAACTTGTGTGAGATGGTTTCGATGTTGTTCCTTAGTCTTACTATAGACGAGAATGTCATCGAAGTAGACAACGAAAAACTTACCTATGAAAGGTCAAAGAGTTTGTGTCATTGCTCGCATAAAGGTACTCGGCGCGTTGCTTAGCCCAAAGGACACGACCAGACATTTATAAAGACCATCTTTTGTTTTAAAGACGGTCTTCCACTCATCAACTGGACAGATACTTATTTAGTGGTATCCACTCTTCAGATCAATTTTTGAAAATATTATAGCACCAGCCATCCTATCTAGCATATCGTCAAGTCTAGGAATTGAAAAGTGATACTTCACCATGATTCAATTGATGGCATGACTATCTACACACATTCTCCAAAAACCATCCCTTTTAGGAGTTAATAGGCCCGGGACTGCACACGAGCTTAAACTCTTACAGATGAATCCTTTGTTGAGGAGTTAATCTACTTGTCTCTGGAGTTCAGCGTGCTCGGTAGGATTCATCCTATAATAAGACAAATTTCGAAAGGACGCTCTCGGGACGAAATCTATGGCATGTTGAATGTTCCGTAGAGGGGATAACTGGTCAGGTAGGTCCTCCGGGAAGACATCCCGAAACTCTTGAAGGAATAACTGGATTTTAGTAGGGCTCTCTGTTGAAGAGTTAGATGAAACTTTCATAACTACCACAACGAGCACACCTGAGTCACCGAGTGTACGCTCAGACTCCGTAGGGCTAATGATATGTAACTCCTTTTGCTCCACACTTTTCTTTGCTTCTTGTGAGCCAATGGGTTTTGGGGGTAGCGGGTTAATGTGAATCTTCTTTCCATTAAACACGAAGGAGCAAGAATTGGATCAACCATAGATGGTTACTTCAAGATCAAACAGCCAAGTTCGCCCCAGGATGATGTGCTCGACATCCATTCTAATGACATTATACCATATATGATCTTTATACTCAAGGAATTGGATAGGAACTAGATAGCTCTCTTTGACAGCTATAGAAGATGTATCAAATCAGGAGATGCTATACGGTTGAGGGTGAGGAATTGGCTTCAACCCAAGCCAGGATATAGTAGCCATTGATACCGCATTAATGTAGCTACCACTATTTACAATAATTTTACAACCCTTGTTATTGATCTTGATGTAAGTGTGGAAGATGGCATGATAACGCCAATCATCGGCATCCTTAGGTTGGGTAAGAGTATAACGTACAATACTGAATACAACGAACAATATCGACTGTAGGCATGTTTTGGGTAAGGGGACTGGTCTGAATACAACCTAGGAAGGTATCTTCACCATCATCCAAATCATCAAACTCTTCCAACTTAGGTTCATAAACTTGGTCCTCTAATGGTTCATCTACTATACCCTCATGTTCTTCCATAACTAGGGCTTAACTATGACACTTAGAAGAAATGTGACTAAAACCCTTACAGTTAAAGCACTACAAACAAGGACGGCCTCGAAACTTCACGACCTTTACCTTTACCAGTCGAATACAAGGATAGCATTAGAAGGGGGAGGCCCTATAATAGAGTTACGAGGAGTGGCGCAAAAGAGGTTGTGGTGCGAGTGTCACTATGAGTTCTATACGACGTCCTAGTCACTAACTCATAATCTCGAATGAAAGAGTAGGCGTGGTTAATAGTGGTGAATCCTCAAAAGGACAGGCTCACGCCCAAGATCATCCCTTTGGCCTTGTCTAAACGTACTCAAGGTCATGACCTTATCCTCAACGACCTGACATTTCATGTGGAA